ATCCTAAAGTCCCAAACTGCCAGATCCTGAACATAATTTTAGGACTTTGCAGTAACCTGCTATGATTCTCAAGAAAAACTTGCAGCTTATAGGAAGCGTTACGTTATTTTTTTCTCCACCACTTACATCATCATTTGAGAAGGGAGTCAGCTGAGGAGAAATACGAATTAATCAAAAAAAAATTCAAGAGAAACGAGACTAAATCACTAGCCCTGACAGTAACCTATATTTTATCTTACTGAATAAATTCTAGGGTTTAAACACACAGCTCTGCAACTTTGGATTTGCCCACAATGGCAAACCTTGTGAAAAATTTCTATTTCTCAGAAAAGCAGAGTTTAAAACAAACAAACCTAACTAACAAAAAAGAAACCCCCACAAAAAAAAAAAAACAAACCAAAAACAAAACAAAAAAAACAAACCCACAAACGAAGCCAAAAACCAGCTTTGACTGTTTCTCGCTGGGTTTTGAGCAGTCCCCAGGAGGTGGGTTTTGAGCAGTCCCTGGTGGTGATGCCAAAAGATATGGGCATTTGAGGAGTCGGGATTCCTGCAACCTCTTCTGAGTGCAAACGCCTAATTTTCTGTAGGTTTTAAGGAATGAAAACAGAAATGAGGCTTTTTTAATCTCCCAAAACCTGGATACCAGTGGTCTGTCCTAAGCATTTCCCCCTGCATCTGGTCTTTTAGCTACAAAGTGCCATACCAGCTTCAGACCAAGGCAGGTGACACAAGATTTGTAGGTTAATACATGGATGGGCCCCTGAGACTCTCCAAGAGCCTGCTGGGAGCTCTGCTGACTACAGCAGCAGTTGAGACGCTTTGTTCTCATGTTGCTCCATGCCTGCCCCAGCAATGCCTGGTGCCTGATAGCTGCAGCTCTCCACAAGTGCCACAGTCTCCCAATGTAGCCTTCCTGTCTTTCCCATTAAAGCCCATCCTGAAAGAGGAGTTAGGAGCAGTCCTGTTCTCCAGGACTTAAGCCTCCAATGTGCTCTAATGCCTTGTATCCAAATTTGCTCCTGTCTGGGAAGGAGGAGGGTAGACATGATGCAACGATGCTTCAGCTTGGTTTGGGGATCACCCCTCAACAGCGCTCTTGGGGTTTGCTTTCAGTGCATCTGCTGGTTACACCCAGATGCAATACATTAGATTGGGTACGTGTCCATACACATTACCTATTGTTATGACACATAACATCCAGAGAGACCTGGACAGGCTGGAGAGGTGAGCTTGTGAGAACCTCATGAAAGGTCAACAAGGCCAAGTGCAAGGATCTGGGTCAAGTCAATCCCAAGCACAAATACAGGCTGGGCAGAGAATGGATTGAGAACAGCCCTGAGGAGAAGGACTTGGGGGTGTTGGTGGATGTGAAGCTCAACATGAGCCAGCAATGTGTGCTCTCAGCTCAGAAAGCCACCTGCCTCCTGGGCTGCATCAAAAGGAGCGGGGCCAGCAGGGCGAGGGAGGGGATTCTGCTCCTCTACTCTGCTTTGGTGAGACCCCGCCTGGAGTACTGCCACTTGCTTTAGAGTCCTCAGCACAAGAAGGACATGGTCCTGTTGGAGCGGGTCCAGAGGAGGCCATGAAGATGATCCGAGGGCTGGAGAACCTCTCCTACGAAGACAGGCTGAGAGAGTTGGGGTTGTTCAGCCTGGAGAAGACTCTGGGGAGACCTTATAGCAGCCTTCCAGTGTCTGAAGGGGGCCTACAAGAAAGCTGGAGGAGGACTTTTTAGAAGGGCATGTAGTGATCGGATGAGGGGTAATGGCTTCAAACTGGAAGAGGGGAGATTTAGATTAGATATCAGAAACTGGAACAAAATGCCCAGGGAAGTTGTGGAAGTTGTGTTGCCCTATCCCCAGAAGTGTTCAAGGCCAGGTTGGATAAGGCTTTGAGCAACCTGGTCTAGTGGGAGGTGTCCCCGCCCATGGCAGGGGGGTTGGAACTTGATGATCTTTAAGGTCCTTTCTAACCTAAACCATTCTATGATTCCATGATTTCCAGATATCTCAGTAAACCGTTCTGCCAGCCACTGGCCCGGGGTTTTTGCAGCGCATCTCCCTCATGCCCCCCTCACTGTGATGACGGGGGCTGGAGATGGGAGGGTTTCCCTGTTCAGGAGAAGCTAAATCCTTCAGATCTTGAGACCCCGAGGGATTTCTCCTTCTTGGTGCCCTAGAGGTGAGACTGGTGGACTCAGACCAGCAGGTTTCTCCCATCCTGGTCCCACAGATGCAGCCAATGATTTTTCCATTGCAGATCCAGCTGCACTGCTTTATAGCTGGTAACAGGGGGCTGTTGCAAGGTTGCCCTCCCCCATAAGGTCCATGAGACCCTCCTGTAAATCATCCGTGGGCTTGCCTGTCCCTTGCATGATGCCCCCTTTGCTGTTCAGCAAGCAGTATCTCTGGACCACCCCATCCAGCTTTACTGGCCCAGCTCTCCCCAGCCACTGCGAACCTTGAGTGAGGGCTAGAGCCTTATATTTGTGTGGACAGCAGATTGACTCATGCTTTAATGTGTTCATGAGCTGCCTGCTGCAAACGTTACCCCCTGCATTTTTCATGGAGCATTATTTCCTTTGGAGGAAGCCCCACAGCATGAACGCTGGTGCTGTACTGAGGCAGGTTTCCTCTCCTGGAAAGCTGGGTGGCTCAGGCTTCAGCAACAGGCTGAAGGACCCTACCTGTGAGGCAGTTCCTCTGGGATGGGGAAGTTTTCCACCCCCAGCTACAGGGATCACAACCATCCAGTCTGGCACCTCCATGCCGGAGTCGAACATCCCCAGGCTACAATTCAGAGGGAGCAGCTACAAAGGAAAAGCCTCAGTGTTGCCAAAGCTGGGCATTTGGTGTGCCTCCCAGCTGCCCATGTGCCCTCTCCTCACTGGAGACATCCCACCACCACAGAGGGGTGGGGGGGCTGGACCCTCTTTGCTCAGAGCCTACCTGCTGCTGAGGAGGAGAAAAGGCAGGATTTAGGGCTCAAGCAGCAAGTTCATGGGAAAACACAGTTTAAAAGAAAAGAGGCAAAACAACAGAGAATTTTATTAAGCTTCAGCAGAGAGGGACCTAGGAGTCCTGGTGGACAACAAGTTGACCATGAGGCAGCAATGTGCCCTTTCAGCAAACAGGTCTCCTGGGGTGCATTAGAAAGGGTGTGGCCAGCAGGTCGAGGGAGGTCATCCTCCCCTCTACTCTGCGGTGGTGAGGCCGCATCTGGAGCACTGCGTCCAGTTATGGGCTCCCCGGTTCATGACAGACTGGAGAGAGTCCAGCAGAGGGCTATGAAGATGATCAAGGGAATGGAGCACCTCTGTGATGAAGAAAGGCTGAGAGACCTGGGACTGTTTATCCTGGAGAGGAGAATCTCATCAATGCTTACCAATATCTGAAGGGCAGGTGTCGAGAGGATGGGGACAGACTCTTCAGTGGTGCCTGGTGACGGTACAAGGGGCAACAGACACAAGCTGGAACATGGGAAATTCCATCTGAACATGAAGGAAAATCTTCTTGACTTTGAGGGTGACAGAGCACTAGAACAGGCTGCCCAGAGAGGTCATGGAATCTCCTTCTCTGGAGATATTCAAAACCCTCCTGGACACCATCCTGTGTAACCTGCTCTGGGTGAACCTGCTTTGCCAGGTGGGTTGGAAAAGATGGTCTCCCAAGGTGCCTTCCAACCCCAACAATTCTATGCTCTCAGCTAATTTTTCCCCTCTCCTTCCATTTTGCACCTGGGTTGGTGGTGTAGGAGATGGATCCTCTGCCAATGGCAGAACACAGCATCCCCTGGCCTGTTGAGGGGCTGTGTGGAGAGGTGGCCATGAGCTCCCCAGGCGGAGTCTGGAGGGGCCCCAGGAGGAGTCTCCAGAAGCCCCATGTCCCAAAACAGAGGTGCAGACTGCTCAAAGGGGTGCAAGAGAGCCCCAGGACAGTGCTCCCCAGTGGGCAGGCAGAGCCCTGCCTGCATGTGGTGAGGCACCAAGGTTAGGTGCCAAAGCTTGTGGGACCCTGCTGCTCTCCTCCCAGCTGCCAGCAGCCCTGGTGGGAAAGCCAGCGGGGACCAGATGGCTGCTTGAGCCTGGGCAGGTGTTTGTCCAGCCTCCAAACCTTGAGCTCACCCCACAAACTCCCCTTCGGAATCTGTCCAGTCCCTCCCGCACTGGAGATGGAGAAGATTTGCAGCCGTTGAAGCTGATTTTTCATGTGTGTCCCCTCCTGCACACTCAGAGCCATCCCAATTTGCTCTCTCGCTGGGTCCCTTCAGCCTTTTGTGCTATCAGCCAACCCACATCCAGCCCTTAAGGGTGCAAATCACGCTTCCCATTGTATTCCTCAGGCAGAGCCAGATCCCACTTTCCTCCAGTTTTAACTCAAATCCTGAGATCCACCTGGCAGTTCCTCCCAGCCCCATCACACCCCAGATCATCTGCATGCCTTGAGGGCTTAGACTTGTTTCCCCAGTTCCTTAACCCCTCAGGAGGCTGTTTAGCAACTCTCCCTAATTACAGCAGTTAACTAACCCCCAGGGAGGCAGTTCAGTGTCAACCTAAGGTGTCAACCTCCTCATCCCTCAGGTGCAGCAAGGAGGTCAAGGTCAGATGTGTTTCTGGATTCCTCTGCTGAGCAGTTTCACAACTCACCTCTGCCAAGGTCTTGCATCAGCCTTAACAGCTTTAATTTCTAATTAATTAATTGCTCTCCTCCTGTTTCTCTCTGTCACCCCATGGGCTGCTTTTGCCCTGGGTTTCCCTTGTGCATCTCAGAGCTGTGCAACAGTTGCTCAGGCGGACAGTTGTCACCACCGCTGACTGACATGGATTTGCAAGGTGCTGGGCATCAAGCTGCAGGGCTGGGGTCTCCGGGCGGCATCACTTCTCCTTCCTGTGCTTGCAGCCCATTTCCAGCCCCACAAGTCTCAGCCATCGGACAGGGAGTCCAGACCCCAGGAGCGCCTGCCATGATACCAGCACCCGGATGGAGGGGAGGTGCTGGTTACCGGCACGGGGCCAGAGCGTTAGCTGGGGGCATGGGAACCTCATCTCCCCCACCAGCAGCATCCCACCCCCCAGTGCCCCCCAAGCTCTCCCCCATGCCATTGCTAAGACAGGACTGGGAGCTGCTTGGTGTCAGCTCCCTGGCACCAGGGACCATCACCCAGGGCAGGGACAAGTATTTCTGCACCTCGATGGCCGGGCTCCGGCGGTCAGGGTCCAGCGTCAGCAAGCGCCGGAGCATCTCCAGCGCCCCAGAGTCGAATACTTGCCAGGACGCTGGCACCCTCCGCCCTGCCACGCCACCCTGCCAGGCGCTGAAGTCCTCAAACTGGGGGTCAGAGCTGGCGGCCACAGCCCAGGGGAAGCAGCTGGTGCAGAGGCAGAAGAGCAGGATGGCGAAGGCCCAGACGTCCAGGCTGGAGTCCAGCTCCAGTGTGTCAGAGCCCTGGAGCAGGCAAAGCTCCGGTGGGGTGTAGGGCAGGGTGCCGGACATGGCACCCACTGCTGAGCCCTGCACGCGGGTGAGCCCAAAGTCTCCAAGCTTCACCCGCCGGCACTCGCGGTCAAAGAGCAGCACGTTGTCCAGCTTGACGTCCCGGTGCACGAGGGCACGGCTGTGCATGAAGTCCAGCGCCTCAGCCAGCTGGGATGCACAGCGCTTCACCAGCTCCTCCGCCAGACCCTCCAGAAGGGAAGGTGGTACCCTCATCTGCTGCATCACCCCCTCCCCAAAGGGGGGCTGCAGCACCCAGACCCCTGCCCAGCACCACCAACCTGGGCTCTGCCTCATAGCAGCCTGTAGCTACATGCCAGCACTGCAAAGGCTCTCCCCACATGCAGCACGAGCATGCACCCCACTGAAAAGGGTCTCCCCATGAACACAGTGTCACTGCACCCCACTGCAAAGGGTCTCCCCACAAAAAGCATGACTATGCAACCCACTGCAAAAGGTGTCCCCACACACAGTGTCACTGCACTCACTGCAAAGGGTCTCCTCCCAAGTCACTGCACCCACTGCAAATCTGCCCTGGCACCTTCTCCTCCATCCTCCAACCCCTCC